GCGCCCGCCCAGCCGGGCTGAGCAGCAGGCCCGGTGGGCTGGCGGCGGCTTCGCCATGAACCCTAGGGGCCTGTTCCAGGACTTCAACCCGAGTAAGTTCCTCATCTACGCCTGCTTGCTCCTCTTCTCCGTGCTGCTGCCCCTCCGCCTGGACGGCGTCATCCAGTGGAGCTACTGGGCGGTCTTCGCCCCCATATGGCTGTGGAAGCTCCTGGTCATCGCCGGCGCCTCAGTGGGCGCAGGCGTTTGGGCCCGCAACCCTCGATACCGCACGGAGGGGGAGGCCTGCGTGGAGTTCAAAGCCATGTTGATCGCCGTGGCTATCCACCTGCTGCTGCTCATGTTCGAAGTCCTGGTCTGCGACAGGGTGGAGAGGGGGACCCACTTCTGGCTGCTGGTCTTCATGCCACTTTTTTTCGTATCCCCAGTGTCCGTGGCCGCCTGCGTCTGGGGCTTCCGACACGATAGGTCCCTAGAGCTGGAGATCTTGTGCTCTGTCAACATCCTGCAGTTCATCTTCATCGCCCTAAGGCTGGACAGGATTATCCACTGGCCGTGGCTGGTGGTGTTCGTGCCCCTGTGGATTCTCATGTCGTTCCTCTGCCTAGTCGTCCTCTATTACATCGTCTGGTCCCTCCTGTTCCTTCGATCCTTGGATGTCGTTGCGGAACAGCGAAGGACACATGTGACCATGGCCATCAGCTGGATAACGATTGTCGTACCCCTGCTCACTTTTGAGGTTCTGCTCGTTCACAGATTGGACGGCCACAATACATTCTCTTACATCTCCATATTTGTCCCCCTTTGGCTTTCATTAATAACTTTAATGGCCACGACGTTTAGGCGGAAGGGAGGCAACCATTGGTGGTTTGGGATTCGCAGAGATTTCTGTCAGTTTCTGCTTGAAATTTTCCCATTTCTAAGAGAATATGGGAACATTTCCTATGATCTACATCATGAAGATAGTGAAGAAGCTGAAGAAACATCAGTCCCAGATGCTCCTAAAATTGCTCCGATGTTTGGAAAGAAGGCCAGGGTAGTTATAACCCAGAGTCCTGGAAAGTATGTTCCCCCGCCTCCCAAGTTAAATATTGATATGCCAGATTAAACTCCTCTTCCAGAGAGCACCCATATGTGGAACAGAAATCATAAACACATACACAATCCACCTTATTTTTGCCTCTTTGTTCATCCATCCCAATCTTGGAACTGAAAATAGGCTCCAAACACCATATCATCTCATGCCTTGAGATTAATGCCTGTCAGTTACTCATCAGTGTGCACCATAGATAGAGGAGGTGATTTTAATATACGGCTGTGTGTGTGTGTGTGTGTGTGTGTGTGTGTGTGTGTGGTGTGTACATGTGCGAGAGAATGTGCTTTCCAGGCTGATGCTTTAAAAGCTAGCTTGGAAGCAGGCAGTTGAATAGTAGGTCTTCAAGTGAAATAACTATACAGCTGGGTTGTTTTTTTGTTTGTTTTGGGTTTTTTTTTTTTTTATGGTACTATGCCTATCAGACGTATTGTTTGAAAGTATTTTTATACACTGCTAGTCTAAAGTTGTATTTCAGATTGTACCTGTTGTGACATAATCAATATCAAACGTAAAGAATTCTTTTTCCTGCCACTTGTTTATAAGCCTTCAAGTTGTTATTTTTAGTGTTCCTACTCTTAAAATAGTTTTCCTTTGGGTTTTGCTGATGCTGGTCTTCAACATCATAAAAGGTGAATTTTTCTAATGCAGTGAATTCACGCATATATGAAATTTATATGAATGTTTTAGCAATGTGATATGTTGAATTCTAGTTGTGTATTACGACGTATTAAAGTATTTTTTTTAAGTTTATATGTGAAGATACACGTCTATTGCAGATGTGCTTAAAGATTGCTTAAAATGTTAATATGTACCCAGTGTAGGAGCTCCTCAAAGTACTAGGCATGGGATTAAAATCCCATAGGTCTTAATTTTCAGGTATTAGATGACTCAGTCTATAGAGTTTTAAGGTCTCTTTTAGTAGAGGGAGGAGCCACCGTCTTTGGGAACAGGTGTTCCAGTGTGATACTAGGCCATGAAGTAAACCTGAAATTTTCCCAAATGGGTAGTAACATCTCTTTAGGAACAACCAAACTAAGCAACAAGTGATTTGTTCATTGCCAAGGGTCCTAGAATATTATTTGGCTACGATAAAAAGTGTTACTTATCATCAGGATGCTGGAGAGAGTAGCCTTAAACAAAAGACAGCCAAAACCTTCAGGTATTACTTTAAGGTCCAAACTTAACTGATCTGTCAGCAACAGAAAAAGAAGAGTTGAGGTTATTTTTAAAATAAGTGCAGTGTTTCTTGAGGTACTACTAGCGGTAGACCAGGGAACCAGGCAAAAACCAGATTCTGGGAGAATAATGTTCTTATGGCTGAGAACAAATGAATACTTTGAAAAGGAGGTTGAAATAAAAAGCCGTCGTGATATTATTACTGGAGAAAAGAAAGGAGGGAATCCATTTTTGTCATTAGCAACTTAGTAAAAATGATCTAAATTGCTAGCGATGTGAATTAAGTAAACAACGTGATACGCCTAGCGAGGGGGCACGCCAGCAACAAAAGCCAGTCCTGGGAGCCCGCGTGCCTGAAAGCCTCAGGGCGCCCCAGTCACCCAGGACTGTGCCAAGCTCGCTCGCGCGCTCACACACACACGGACACCTTCTCCGTTTCCACCAGCCCGCGGGATGTGGGAAGCAGCCCCGAGCAGCAGTAGATGGAACATATCATAAAGATTCATTTGTTTTTTTCAAACATTTATTGAGGACCTACCCTGAGCCAGACATGATTCAGATGTGCTTCCTCCCCACGTGCACAAAGTACACAAAAGTGACAGTGACAAGATAGCACGCGCCGTGGGGGATAACAAGCAAATAGCAAGAGCTGGGTGTGCAAAATGCTGCCCCGAACTTCGGGCCCATCTTTGTATTCAGGAGCACAGAGCCCCTGACCACCCTTCCCAGCCTCAAATGATATCTCAGAGACATGAACTTGCACTTCAGGAAGACTCAGGAGTGGAGGAGCAGGCTGCTGGAGGAATCGAGGGGTGGGTTTGGGGGCCGCAGTGGGATGGCCAGCCCCTCCTGTCTACGGGCATCAGGCTAGGGGTTGTTGGCAATTGGTACAATCCCTCCGACCTTCCCCACACTCACCCAACCCCCGCTCCCTCCCGGAGTTGGAGAGCCAGGGTCTGAAGGTGATAAGCTTTCTCCCTGTCCTGTCAGGTACCTGTTCCCGCCTCAAACCATTAGATAAAGACAGCGGGAGTGACTGTAACAGTCAATATGCTCTCTCAGCTGTGCCTGGGGACTTACTACGTCGTAATGCGGACTCTCCACAATACTTAGCGTGTGTCAAACTCTGGAACGAGTTCCTCCTGTAAGGTGATGGGTTAGCTTTTGCTCGGAAATCTCAGCGGCTTGCAGACTCGCGATCTCCGGTCTACAAGTCAGCTGTGGCGGTTCCACGCTGGGCCCTGGGTCTGATCCAGGTCTGTTCCACAATGCGTCCCTTATTCTGCTCTGGGTCCCAGGTGAAGGAGGAGCGCTCCCTGGGGCATGTTCTTCTTTCTCATGGCAGAAGCACAAGAGGCCAAGCCAATCCCTGCAAGCACAACCCAGCCCCTGCCCACACGTGTGTATCGGGCATACTCGTTCCGTTGGTCAGAGCACAAAGCCGAGCTCGGGGTGGGGGTTGGCCGGTACACGCCCAGGGAACGATGACAGTCTGCACAGATGTCGCAAGATAGTTTCAAAGACTGGAAAGGAATCACAAAATTTGTAGTAGATCATTTTCCTCCTCTGTTTTACAAACAGCCTGTCATTTTAAAAAGCTAATCGTTTGTAATAAGAAATTGGGGAATGTGGGGAGGGGGGAGATGGGATTTGAGGCGAGATGGGGACTCTGCGGTTGGACCACTACTAAGCTATGGCAGGTCCCTGGAGGCTCCACCCAGGACAGTTTGATGACCGTGCTGTACCCCGTTGGCCTCCCCCGGAGGGTTCTGCAGGATCCCTTGGAAAGGTCAAAACAGGGCACAGGGAACCCAGGCAGGTGGGAGGTGCTGGGAACCCAGGAAGAAACAGAGTCTAGATGGACCATGGCAGCACACTAGAGGGAAGAGGCAGACCCCCACGGCCAGCTCTCTCCAGGCTTCTGGGTGGTCCGCAGTGAAAGGACTGAGCTGGGAAGAACAACGGTCAGGAGAATACGGGTAGTTCGGGCTGACAGGAGGCCTGGGGTCCAGTCAGCAAGTGCACAGGGGTCAAGGAGAGTGCTGCCCCAGACCCAGGCTGGGACATGCCACAGGGACCATTTGGGGAGGATGCTGCAGCTGGTGCCCCAGCGTCAGCCACATGACACTGCTACCAAAGTAGTACGTGCCACCCCACTGCCACAGTAATTCTCCGCTCTGTTGCGCGCTCAAGATTCAAGTGCCAGGAGGGAGAGGATCAGGTAAACCCTCAGGCACACCTTCACCCTCTTCACAGATTATCTGGCTCCTTGAGGCTGGTCTCTGCAGAACCCACCCAGTAAAGGATTTTGCCCAAAAAGGAAGGGTCCTCTGATGCTGGGTCACCAAAGATGATGACAAAAGTCCACTCCACCAATCTCTTGGCTGACATCCACCCTCTTCCCATGCTGCCATCCGGCTGACACAACTGTGCCTGCTGCCACGCGGTGCACACCCCCCCCCCCC